ACAAGCTAAGCGGCAAGGCAAGTCTGTAAGCCACCTCTCCCACACGATCGAGAATCTCAAATGGGCCAATGAATCTAGGGCTAAGCTTGCCCTTCTTCCCAAATCTCATCACGCCCTTCATAGGCGACACTCGGAGCAAGACCCGCTCACCAACCATGAAAGCTATATCTCGAACCTTACGATCCGCATAACTCTTTTGCCGCGACTGAGCCGAACGAAGCCTGTCCTGAATGATCTTGACCTTATCCAAGGCCTCCTGAACTAAATCTGTACCCAATAACCGAGCCTCCCCCGGCTCAAACCATCCAACTGGAGACCGACATCGCCTACCATACAACGCCTCATATGGAGCCATCTGAATGCTGGACTGGTAGTTGTTGTTGTAGGCAAACTCTGCAAAAGGCAAGAAACTGGTCCCACGAGCCTCCAAAATCAATGACACAGGCTCGGAGCATATCCTCCAATATCTGAATAGTCCTCTCGGAATGGCCGTCCGTCTGAGGATGGAACGTGTGCTCAACTGAACCTGGGTGCCCAACTCCTGCTGAACTGCTCTCCAGAAGCGCGAGGTAAACTGCGTACCCCGATCCGAAATAATAGATACCGGCACCCCATGAAGGCGAACAATCTCTCGGATGTAGATCTCAGCTAACCTCTCCGATGAATAAGTGGCTGCAACAGGAATAAAATGCGCTGACTTGGTCAGCCTATCAACAATGACCCAAATGGCATCAAACTTCTTCCGAGTCATCGGAAGTCCAGTAACGAAATCCATGGTAATCCTCTCCCACTTCCACTTGGGAAGCTCAATCCTCTGAAACAAACCACCAGGCCTCTGATGCTCATACTTAACCTGCTGACAGTTCAAACATCGAGCCACATATGCAACAATATCCTTCTTCATCCTACGCCACCAATAAAGCTGCCGCAAGTCCTGATACATCTTCGCGGCGCCCGGGTGAATAGAATACCGAGAACTATAGGCCTCCGCTAAGATCAACTCTCGAATCCCATCGACATTGGGCACACAAACTCGCCCCTGCAATCTCAAAACACCATCATCATCTAAGGTCACCTTCGTGGCACCTCCACGCTGCACCGTGTCTCTCAGGACACACAAATGGGGATCATCAAACTGCCGATCACGGATACGCTCCAATAATGAAGAGCGAGCGACCGTGCAGGCTAACACTCTGCTAGGCTCAGAAATGTCCAACCTCACAAATCGATTGGCCAAGGCCTGAATATCTAAAGCAAGCGGTCTTTGGCTGACCGGAATATAAGCAAGACTACCCATACTGGCGGACTTCCTACTCAATGCGTCGGCCACCACATTGGCTCTCCCCGGGTGGTACAAAATAGTAACATCATAATTCTTCAATAGTTCCAACCACCTCCTCTGCCTCAAGTTCAACTCCTTCTGCATGAACAAGTACTGTAGACTCTTGTAATCAGTGTACACCTCACACGTCACACCATATAGGTAATGCCTCCAAATCTTCAAAGCATGAACTATGGCTGCCAACTCTAGATCATGAACTGGATAATTCTTCTCGTGGATCTTCAACTGCCTCGAAGCATAAGCAATGACTCTGCCATCCTGCATCAATACTGCACCAAGTCCAATACGGGAAGCATCACAATGGACTGTATAAGGCCCTGAGCCTGTGGGCAAAACCAATATCGGTGTCGTAGTCAGAGCTGTCTTGAGCTTCTGAAAGCTCGCCTCACACTCATCTGACCATCTGAACTGGGCACCCTTCTGGGTCAATCTGGTCATCGGGGCTGCTATGGATGAAAACCCCTCCACGAACCGACGATAGTAGCCTGCTAAACCCAAGAAACTCTGAATCTCAGTAGCTGATGCTGGTCGAGGCCAGTTCTTGACTGCCTCAATCTTCTTCGGGTCCACCTGAATACCCTCTGCTGATACGACATGACCCAGAAATGCAACCGAACTCAACCAGAACTCACACTTCGAGAACTTAGCATATAACTGACTATCCTTCAGAGTCTGAAGAACCACTCTGAGGTGCTGCTCGTGCTCCTCCTGGCTGTGGCAGTACACCAGAATATCATCAATAAAGACTATCACGAACAGGTCCAGGTACGGTCTGAACACTCGGTTCATCAACTCCATAAATGCTGCTGGGGCATTGGTCAACCCAAATGACATGACCAAAAACTCATAATGCCCATACCGAGTGCGGAATGCTGTCTTAGGGACATCAGACGCCCTAATCCTCAGCTGGTGGTAGCCAGATCTCAAGTCTATCTTTGAAAACACCTTTGCACCCTGAAGCTGGTCAAACAAATCATCAATCCTCGGCAGTGGATACTTGTTCTTTATCGTCACCTTGTTCAATTGCCGGTAATCAATGCACATCCTCATCGATCCATCCTTTTTCTTCACAAATAACACTGGCGCACCCCAAGGAGAAACACTAGGCCCGATGAAACCCTTCTCTAGCAAATCTTGCAACTGGTCCTTTAACTCCTTCAACTCTGGCGGGGCCATGCATTATGGTGGAATAGAAATGGGCTGCGTGCCTGGGGCCAGATCAATACAGAAATCAATATCCCTGTCGGGCGGCATACCCGGCAGGTCTGAAGGGAAAACCTCGGGGAACTCCCAAACAATAGGAACAGAGTCAATAGAAGGAATCTCTGTGCTAGAATCGCGAACATACGCCAGATAAGCTAAACACCCCTTCTCGACCATGCGTCGAGCCTTAACATATGAAATAACACTGCGGGTGGCATGACCTGGGGTCCCTCTCCACTCCAATCGGGGCAAATCTGGCAAAGCCAAGGTCACGGTCTTGGCATGACAATCCAAGATATCATGATACGGGGACAACCAATCCATCCCTAATATAACATCGAAATCCACCATGTCTAAAAGCAATAAATCAACACGGGTCTCAAGACCCTCAAACACTACCACACAGGAACGATGAACTCGATCGACCACTATAGAATCACCCACCGGTGTAGATACATAAACAGGGATACCTAAAGCATCACTAGGCATAGACAGGTAGGGTGCAAAATAAGACGACACATAGGAATACGTAGACCCAGGGTCAAATAGCACTGAGGCATCCCTATCACAGACCAGAATAGTACCTGTAATAACAGCATCTGAAGACTCAGCCTCTAGACTGGCAGGCAAAGCATAACACCGGGGCTGGGCCCCACCTCCCTGAACCATGTCTCTGGGATGATCTGCTACTGGCTGACCCCTACCTCTGCCGGTCCGAGCTCCACCTCTATGGTCTCTACCTCCACCTCTATGATCCCTACCCCCGCCTCTAGCTGGCTGGGCAAGCTGTGGATCACCTGGTGCCTGAATCATGGGGCGAGGACCCTACTGTTGAGAGCTACTCGAGGCTCGAGGGCAAAATCTGACAATGTGACCGGGGTCACCACAACCATAACAAGCCCTCAGCTGCTGAGAACCACCACCGCCTGGAGTACCATGAGAAACCTGGAGTGCTGACTGAAAGGGTCTCGGTGAATGGCCTCTACCATAAGAATCCCTACCTCCAGACGAGGTACCACTGAACCTACCAGAATGACGAGGCCTCTTATCCGACACCTGAACACCTCCCCGTGCAAGAGCCATCTCAACTCTACGGGCAGCATTGGCTGCCTCCTGAAAAGAAATCTCACTACCAGCTCCCATAGCCATCTGGAGACGGATCGGCTGAATCAATCCATCAATAAAACTCCGCACCCTCTCTCTCTCTCGGTGGGGTGTATAATAATAGCATGGCGTGCTAGATCAATGAACCGAGTCTCATGGAGCCCTACTGGAGGCGCTCGAACTGCCTGCGAAGAGCCTCTCGCTGAGTAACTGGGAGAAACTTCTCCAAAAACAACTTTGCAAACTGATCCCATGTCAATGATGGCGACCCTGCTGGTCTGGATAAACAATAGTCCCTCCACCAAGTCTTGGCGGATCCTGCAAGCCGAAAGGTGGCGAAGTCGACCCCATTGGTCTCCACAATACCCATAGTCCGAAGGATCTCGTGGCAGCTAAATAAGAAGTCCTGTGGATCCTCTGAAGAAGTACCGCTGAATGTGGTGGTGAAGAGCTTGGAGAACCTATCAAGCCTCCACAAAGCATCCGAAGACATAGCCGCTCCATCGCCGGTCGGAGTCACAACACCCGGCTGAACTGCCACAGCTGGCTGAACCACTGGAACCTGAGCCTGGGGAGGTACCTGCTCCGGAGTACGTATAGCAGGAGTCTGAACTCCTCCCCCAGCCTGAGAAGTGGCTGGTGCTACTGGAAGCAAACCCGCTCTAGTGACGCTCTCCACAAAGCCTACCAATCTGACCAGAGCGTCCTGAAGAACTGGGGTGGCTATGAACCCCTCTGGGACCTGAGTTGGGCCTACCGGAGCTGCTGGGGCTGGAACCTCCCCATCATAATCAACATGAGGCTCCACCTCTGGGACTGCTACTCGGGGCTGAGCTCTGCCCCTGCCTCGGCCTCTGGCACGGCCTCGGCCTCTGCCCCTCGCAGGAGCTGCTGCTGGGGGCTCGGGCTGCTGCGCGATAGAAGAGGAAGCACGTGTTCTCGCCATCTGCGAAAGAATAGAGTAGAAAGACGATCAGTATTTGAGAAACAGAATCGCACGACAGGAAAGAACAAAAGTGAAACTTTTCCTAACTCCGTAGCCTCTGGGGATAAATACAGACGTCTCCGTACCGATCCCTCAGGCTCTACCAAGTTTGTCCGTGAGTAGCGAGACCAATGTAACCTAGAGCTCTGATACCAACTTGTCACGACCCGGATTTCCCACCCTCGGGAGTCGTGATGGCGCCTACTAACGGAGCTAGGCAAGCCAAACATTTAAACATTTTCGGATGACAACACAACAATAATAAAACAACGAGTCTTTAAATAAATGCGGAAGTCTTTAAAAAAAGGGACATAATAACTGAAAACCCAAAATGCGGAAGTTTAATATTTCTCTACCCAAGACTGGAGTCGCTATCTCACGAACTACTAACGAGTGCTACAAACAAGTCTGAATAGAAAATGCCTAAATGTCTGTCTCGGTACAATGAAGACAAACTGAAAACATAGAAAGGGACTCCGGCCTATGAACGCCAGCTAGGCTACCTCGTAAGTCCCTGGACTGAAGTCAGCTCCCGATCAATATCCTACTGCAGTGGTCCAAAAGCTGCTCTGGTACCGTGATCTGTGCAAAAGAGCACAGAAGTGTAGCATCAGCACAACCGACCCCATGTGCTGGTAAGTGCCTGGCCTAACCCCGGCGAAGTAGTGACGAGGCTAGACCGGACTACCAAACAAACCTGTGCAGTCAATATATATATATATGCAATAAAAGGAAAGAACAAAGAAATTAAACAGTTAAGAGGGAGGGAAGCATACTATGGGGGAGTATAGTCCGGATATGAAGTCAACAATTTAAATAAGAAACAGGGCAATAACAATAATTAATGAGAGCAGGAAAATGAACTGTTGCACGGCATCAACCTTCGTGCTTTTACTCTCATCCTCGTCAAAAGCAATCAAATAAAGTGCACGGCATCACCCTTCGTGCTTTCCCTCACGTAACTCTCATATCATGGCACGGAATGATCATTCGTGCAATTAGTATTAAATCAGAGCACGGAATGTCCCTTCGTGCATAAATAATCAAAACATGGCACGGAATGACCCTTCGTACGAATATAATCAAAACATGGCACGGAATGACCCTTCGTGCAAATATAATCAAAACATGGCACGGAATGACCCTTCGTGCATTATCACTCTTCCTCACCCAACCAGTAATCACAACCAAACGGGGTGAGGGGATAAACAAAATAATAAGAAATGTCCCGGTAAGGGAATTACACAATTAACAGCTAAATCCCGGCAAGGGAGCAACAAAAATACTTTCTATTTCGGCAAGGGAGATAATCTATATACTCAAACCATCCCGGCAAGGGAGCAATCATATCTCTTTCTATTCCTTTCATTTCATATTCAATAGTCTTTTTGTCGTTCGAGCCAACACTCCAAAGAATTTACAATTCATAATTAATCCTCATACTCTTCACATTGCATAGAATTCATCAATTAACATGGAAGAGTCATAACAACATCAGAATAAGTACAAACAAGGACCCACGGTCATGCTAGACACCGGTGTATAGATACTCGTCACCATGCCTATACACCGTACTCGATCATTTAGCAATTAGCAAATAATAACACTTTAATCCTATTCCTTCAAGCCAAAGTTAGATCAAACACTTACCTCGAATGCTCCAAACTCAACTCAATCCTCTAGTATAGCTTTACCTCTCGAATTCTCCACCAAACCGCTCGAATCTAATCACAAATTACTTGAATCAATTTGAATGCATGAAAATGAAATTTCCCAAAGTTTGTTTAAAAATTCCAAAAATGCCCCCGGGCCCACGTGGTCAAAACCCGAGGTTCGAACCAAAATCCGATTACCCATTCCCCCATGAATTCAGATAAATAAGTTATTTTGGAATCGGACCTCAAATTGAGGTCCAAAACCCCCAAATTTAGGAACCCTAGTTCTACCCTAAATTCCCAAATTCCCCCATTAAAATCCTTGGTTTGAAGTTGAAATTATGTTTAAGGATGTTAAGGAGTATAGAAAATCAGTTAGAAATCACTTACCAATCGTTTTGAAGAAGTAGAATCGTTTGGAAAATCGCCTCTTATGTTTTGGGTTTTGAAAAAGTGAAAAATGACTGAAAATCCCAACATTATATACTGTACTGAAGAGTAGGCGCGGACCGCACAAAAATGCCCTGCGGCCGCGCCGAGGAAGGGTGGGGAAACCACTCTCTGAACCTACCCAGCGCGGACCGCACTGAATTGGTGCGCGGCCGCGCTGGTTGAATGAAATCCCAAGGCCCCTCTCTGAATCTTCCAGCGCGGACCGCGCTGATATGGCACGCGGTCGCGCTGGTCGAATTGGGAGTCATTGGCCCTCTGAACCCAGCCATGCGGACCGCGCGAAAGTGCACCGCGGCCGCGCGGCTGCCAGTGCGGACTGCGCAAAAATGACCGCAGCCGCGCTGGGGGCCTGCAACACCAGATACTTTTGAGTCTAAGACCTCCCTGGACCTACTCAAAACTCACCCGAGCCCTCGGGGCTCCAAACCGAACATACACAAAATCTAAAAAACATACTCCGGACTCATTCTAGCGATCAAATCGCCCAATTAACATCATGAATCATCAAATTGGGCCTCAATACCCATGATTTCCTTCCAATTTCTATAGAACATCAAGTTTATATTTCCTAGCTCACAACACGTCAAGTGACGTCCAAATTTAACCAAACTTTACAGCAATTGCTTAAATCATATTTAAGACTT